CCATGATTCTCTGGCTATCTATGTAATTCAAAGAATCATGGGAGTTGTAGTTCAGCAACATCCGGAGGGCCGCAGTTTGAGGACCCCTTATCTAAAGGGACACTACATCTTAATATAGTAGTTTTGGTAAATAGATTCTGCCTATTTGTTATCTGGCAATGCTAAACAATGCTGTTTATCAGAAAAGGCAGTGCTTACATTTGGCTAAAAACATGCCATTATTGGCTGGTAGACATTTCTCAAAAGTACACTTTAATTTTATGGGTGTAAGTGGGGTGTGAGGCCAGAGGCGAGGTTGCTCTGAGAACTTTAGTTGAATAACATATTGTGCAACAATTTTTCAAACTCGACAATCTATCTTATTTACCCATTTTGATTTCTAAACACATGTATTGTAGTTTACAAAAACATTAATGTTTAGTATTATTTATGTGGAGCTTTGTTATACAGTCGAACACCAAGAATATGGAGCTTATAGAAAAGAGAACCATTAGGATAGAAAAGAGGTTTAGAATTTTAAATTATCAAACTACATATCTCACAAGTGTCCCTATTTCAGATCCCCAGATGTTGTAGAACTACAACTCCCATGATGCTCTTCATGCTTTTAGAATGCTTTAGAATGACAAAGCATAATGGAAGCTGTATTTTCAAAACATCTGGGGATCTACCTTTTGGGCAACCCCGGTTTAGCGGGATTTGGGCCCAAAATAGGGACTGTCCTCTGAAATAGAAACACTTGTCAGGTAGCAGTTTGATAATTCCAAATGTGGCTAATTCATCTGTATATAAGGGCACTTCCATAACCTTGCTAATTGTGTATTTTAGCACACTTAGTAAAAAAACTAAATATCTAAAAAAGAAAAAAAAAATCAATGGAGTGTTCATAACCAAAACTTTTATTTTTTTGTAAATTCACACATTGTGAAGTGCAAAAACCAACTACCGGTACTACCATATTTTTTTTTTTACAATAAAGTACTCAGTAGAAAGTAATCATAAGAAATTATTATCCGATAAAGTGCTTATAGACGATATAGTGTAACTATAAATACATATAATGATAGTGCCTTCAATTCTATGTGCAAATCCAACAAGTGTATTTTAGTGTCAATCCCAGTAATACACACAGTAATACTTAACAATATGTGCCAATCTTGAGAGAAATACTTATGGACCTCATAGAAAAAGATAAAACATACAATAGTGCAGATGGTCTAATAATAAACATCAGGTTACACACTATATTTAATGCCTCCAAACTGCCAACTCACATCGACTAGAGCATGAAACCTGGCTCTATGAAATCAGTTTTGGAATCTTGTATAGGGGACTCTTACCCTCCCACAATGTCATCCTTTTTATTTTCTCTCTTAAACCAGAACAGGTCGTAGTTTTTATTTGCACTTCACGGTGTGTGAACTTACACAAACAAAATATATTTCAATTTTAAACACTCCACTGCTTTTATATATATTTTGGTTTTTTTCATGTACACAACCTCATTTTTTGACCACTACATTTATCAAATGACACTGATTGCATCATTTGCAGGCCTCCACCTCAGTCCTGTCCCATTCGCCTCCCATTCAGACTTTCCCCGGTTTGGGAAGGTGTGCTTTGTGCTTTATTAGTGAAATACTAAAAATGAGCATACAAAACAATACAACTAGATTGTGTAGTCTGCTTATTTAATGTGGTTTTAAAAATCAGTGCAATGATTTATACATTAACTTATTGCAAAATTTAGGCAAAAATAGCTGATCCTAAATAAAAAAATCTCCATCTAAGCTAATTTTTCCAAATATTTACTCCTGAGATTTGCATGTTTTAGTTTCCCCACAATTCCCAATTTAATAACCTTTTTCAAATGATTCAATGTTGTAAATAAATATTTCGTAAATTATTTCTGTCCAATAATTCCCATGGACTTTAATGGTGGCATCTGCAGATAAATCATTTGAAAAAAAGTTTATACAACCATATATAACATACAATAAACATTTGCGTACATATATGTAATACTGAAACCTGGAGTAATAGAATTAATACCATGCTATGAATACACTATACTTACTGTCTTTCTTCCTTCTTTGGAACAGAATATATCCAATCAGTATTATGACAGGGATTATAATAAATCCAGTCCAAGAGGCATATATAGATGTATTAGATGTATTTTGTGAATTACCTATAATAATAAATAATATCAATGATAACAGAAATGCTCATTATAGAAAGTGCATTATACTGTATTGTTACATAATATTACAGTCTGAAAAAAGACTCAATTCCATTAAATTCAACTTTTCGCATTCCTCTGTCTCTGCAGATGATCCAAAAGAAAATGAAATACCCCATTTAATAATCTGAAGCATTCTTTTATGATGTTTGGTTGAAGCTCCTGTATAATTTTTTTTCATATAAATAGGTTTGCGAGTATGTCTGTATTAAGTATCATTCAACAATATCTAAAATTGTGATTTTTAAGAGTAAAATAATGCGCAAGTGGCTTTTATCGTTATTCCATGGCTTTTTCATAAACATGGTAGATATTTGCACAAAGTTAATTTTGGGAACTCAACTGCTTAGACACAATGGATCAAGGAAAAAGGCAATGTGCAGCAAATGTTTTACTGGGGTACGTAGGGTTTATTTATCATAATAATGCCATCAGGCCAAAATGGGTAAGAAGTCCTTGGCCGTACTTTTAGAGGTAATGATGAACAGTCACAGAGGGAATTTGTGCCAAGATGTACACCTTGATTCAGCCCTTAGCATCTTCTCTCACACTTTTTTGTAGCCCCGAGTGTACCAAAATGATTTCCTGACATCATATTGCATATGCTGAAAACTAGGTTAATGCACACACCTCCTGCTCTGTATATTTTCACAAAAACTTCAGCAAACGTTTACTGAGTGAATATTTTACCACGCAACGTGAGCGCTGGTAATTACTTTTAACCTATAGGAATACACATTGTGTTTAAATCAAAACACAAAGAGGACTTACTGAAATGACTGCTCTATATAAAAATGACTATAAATATTACAAACAGGCAGTTACATTCCTTCAGTTCCAGTGATGACCTGAGTAAGGGTCTGATCACACTGTATGGGTAATATATAGCCTGCAATGTAGTACAGATGGGTGATTTAGCCAAGCAGTAGTGCTAACTATATGTACAAATTATGTGAAAACAAGTATACTTTTTACATTCTGATGGTATATCAGGTAAGTTGTACAATTTGAGAATTGCTACAAATCCCATCAGGTTCCCTACAAATACCTATAAGCAAGTTACCTGACCGTTTTATTTTGGGATACCTACTGTATTTGACAAAAAGTTATTTGTCAATGTATACTAATTCAGATCCTGCCTAAAAAATTAAAAGATAAGGGATAAACTCTAAAACATTTACATTTTTGTAAGAGTTATTAATAAAGCTTTAAAATAACAGAATAATTAATATAATCAAGAAAAACTGATTAACTTGATTAAAATAAAATCCAACTTTTGTGTTTACTAGTGGAAATGATTATGCACATTCGAGTTAAATTCAATAACTAATTAAAGATAATTTGGACTTGCTGATTAATGGAATGGCTAATGTTTGTCTAAGTTCATGGGGTACATGCAGGGATTTCAAGCTGGCCCCACCTTAAGGGATCGAAAGCTAATATATTTTTCTGTAAGACCACCTAATAATTATTTTTAAAGTAAATTAAATTATTTTGCCTTCTTATATATCATCCTAAGTGTAAAGAATTAGGAATTAAAAGATAGTTCTTGGGGGCCTCTGTTGAAGCAGGACACGATCATAAGAGAAATTAGTGAATTCTGACTCTGTAATTAAAGTTCTTGGAGACAACCTGCATATTTGCTTTTAATCATATTTTTTTGTATTACTGAAAGCTAATAGATACATCAGAAGTCCTATTCATTTATAGTAGTTTAGGGATTGTTAGGTAGATTATTTATTTACCTGCTGATAGCTGTGTAAATAAATAATATATATTTTTAGGAATTGCTAAGATTAAGATTAATTATGCTCCAACTCAGTTCATTTATTTTTAATTTGTTATCAATATAGTGATTTTCGGTCTTATTAATAACTCCTCAAGATTTGAAATTGATAAATAGAGACTGTTTTTAATATTAGGACATGTAAAAAGGATTTGGGGGTAATACATTACCTGCTGATAGCTACCTAAATTATTTTATATTTTTGAACAATACATTCTTAATTTAATCAAATACATTTATTTAACATATATATTAATTGCAATTAATTGCTGCAGAACTCTGTGAAAATACCCTTATACAATAAAAAGGTGAACTCCTAGATGGGTTATATTGCGGCAAAGAATGAAGACCGTGAGATGTATTATGGTCCCAAAAGGCACCAGGAAGTGGCAACTGAAGCTCGGTATGTATTTTCACTGCTGTTTCTGTACATTTTCCTATCGCCATTAATATTTCCACCGATTGCCCTGGTTCATTAATCAAAATATATATTTACTGTATTGCTGTCAGATAACTTTCTTCTACTGTATGTAATCAGGCAAACACAGTAAAAGGGTTACATCAATTCTAATGGGCTTTTTGAGCAGAAAACAAAATACGTGGGACACTTGATACATTAAATTCTGTTACCAGAGCCAGATATATAAAAAGCAATACAGGTAACAACTGCATCGTTTATGCAAATATGCAAAATCCTTTCTTCGCAACAGTGTCTGCAATTCTAAACTGAGTGTATTCTGTTAGACATGAAGGCCCATATTGTTATACTGTCCATAGCCCTATGGAGCCCTTACATGTAAAACTTGCAGTAAACCTGCTCTGACGTCTCTTCCTATATATAAGTATTAAAAGATATATGTATTTCTAGAGCAAAGGCGTAGAAATATTGCTGAATTTCCAAGTATTTTTAGGTATATGTTTCTAACACAGGTATCCTTACCAGGATTGTTTAATGTATTGATACCTAATTCAGTGCCATTTCCTCTTCCATGCTGAAGTTTTGGTATTTCAGTATTGATCTCACAGAAGTAAATTCCTTCATCTCTCACTGTGACAGAGTCAATCCGTAGCTCTGCTTTACCGTTAGATACATAATAAGTACTCCCATTGTGATTCCTTTGTGTAACGTTGCATGTATCATTTCCTTTCCATAGAACAGATGCTAAAAGTGTTTTATTTTCCACTTTCATTGATGAAATGCTAAATATTCTCCATTCCACTCTGATCTGCTTCGCTGTATGGTCGGGATCCCAGGTACAATTTATAACAGCGCTCTCTCCTTCCAGTAACACTAAACGCTTTGGAGACTGAGTTACATTTAGAGCATCACAAGAAAATACTGTAAAAAAAAAAAAGACATTTGTAAGAATAAAACTGATGTTAAAGAGAGACATGCAAAAGAAATCTTACAAAAACTTAATTGCATTTATTATCTTTATTTTGCATATCTGTTTACATTAAATATACAATGGGGTTTCACATCCTGAAAATATTTTTGCATCAAGTACCACAGTGTAAAGGGATGAAGGGCTTATGTCCAAATAGGACAGTGATCTGCGATATTAGTGAGGTTAGGACTTGCCAATGTAGGGTTTTAACAGAAGTCAAGCTCAGCATATTATGGCCATGTAATGGCTAAAACACGAAATTTCAACTACTAAGGTGAGAACATCCTCAGCTTCACCTTCGAGATAGCTCGGACAGATCGAGAATGACTCGATCTGTGAATTCATTTGGTGGATGAAGTTCTTCATAGATATTTTACAGATTCTAAAGTATCAGACATTAATGTGATATCCACAGCATTACATTTGCTAACAGACACTTTGTAAAAATAGGCGTAATACATCCACAATTTAGCTATCTTCTTCACCAACAAAAGGATAAACCACAAAATATGGGTGATCACATAGATAGACAACCGATAAAAAACAGGGCCAGAACCATAGATAATTTTATGCTGAAAAAGAAGTGTCGGTAGGTGGACAGTCTTAATGGTAACCTACCTTCACCTTCTTTAACACATGAGTAAAGTTATATCTTGGGTGAACTCAACAGAAGAATAAGCTAAACACATAATAAGCTAAACACATAATAAGCTAAAAACATAATTTCAGAGAGAGTTTTATGCTGTGTTTATGCCTGCTGCCTGTTTTATATGTCAGGCTAATTCATTACCGGTCTTATGCTCTTAGAGAGAAAAACAGCATTTACTATTTCTATGGCAAAATGTAAATGTAGAAGGCTCCTACCATGTCCAGTTGCTGAGTTCTCCTGGGTAAATACCCTGTTTGCAGACTGCTAAGTCTTTATCCATTAATCATACACTCAGGAGTGAAACTGGTGCAATGTCCCATGAAAAGAGTGTAAAGACTAATAGTTTATATTCATAATGGAACGTTTACATTAATTAATTATCACCAAGAACACCCCACTGATCTCTGCGGTAATCACTCTAAATTTAGCACTCTTGCTTTCTGTTGTCCAGTTTTCTTTTCAAATGTAACAAAAATAAACTTTAAACATGCATTAATAAAATGACCAATTATTTCAACAACAGACAGAAATATATGTTTCAAATTTTGAAGCAAAACACGTCTAAAAATAGTAGAAAACAAATCTGATTACAAAGATTATATGTAGGAATCAGATTGTTTTATAGAGTGGGAAAAAATTTAAGTCACCAGGATTCCACTCTTCATTATCTCTTCCATGACAAGGGGTTAGGTCATCTACAAAAGGGTTGCAGTTTAAGACAAAAAAAAAAAAAAACACCATAGAAATAAAAGTCTATAGTAAACAATATATATTATCTGCAATGAACTGTGTACAAAGTGTAACTTACCTTCACCATAGACATGAAGTACAAAGAGGATTATGCTAGGTTTCCTTGTCATTATAACTGGATGGTCATACTGTCACTGTGAGTGTCAGTACATGAGTGTGCAGGAAACAAAAACATCACACAAGATATATGCATGTCCCCATTCAGACACTTCCTGTTCTTGTTCGTCATCGCATTATACAGTTGTAGCCCAAAGATTTCACAGAAATCACAGTTTCATCTTACTACTAATACAATTTTCTGAATTTCACTTAAAGCGGCACTGTCATGCCGAACTTACCTTTCCTCAATCTCTTCCTCTTCTCCCCCTCTCTCAGGATCTGTTATTCTTTTCTTCCTGTCTTCTTTAGTTTTCTTTAAAATCATAAGACAAAGTAGGGACTCTTTGCCTTATGGAGGATTCCTCCGCTTGACCAGCTCTGACCAGCGGAGGAGCAAAGTGTGCTTCATTTCCGCTGGTCAGAGCAATTTTCCCATGATCCTTACCTTCCCTCTGTGTTCCCGCGATGCTTCCTGTCATTTTACACAAAACTGCCGAATTGCGTTCTAACTGAATGACAACAGTATGTTCGTTTCTTTTACCGTAGGAATTAGGGAGTTATCTACTAAGCGGCTGCAAGATGCAGCCGTGGCAATGAATAGGATCGGAGTTTCATTCATTAGAATGAAATTCCGATCCGAATAAAGTGCCGAATTGCGTTCTAAAAGAAAAGGATTTCTTGGAGTACTGGAACTTTAAAATTGCCAATGGAAGTAAAAGTAACCAGGAAAGGTTAAAATGCCAGGAATAGGTAAAAAAAAGTTGTTTAAAGTGCATAAAGAGTGCAATAAAAAGAGGATTGGTACAATAAAGTAGCCAAAAAACTTTTATTGATCTAAAATACACAGTAAAATACAGAATTAATAACCATAAACGCGTTTCACCATAAGTGGCTTCTTCAGAATGGGATAAAACATGTTATTTTATTCCTATTCCTGGCATTTTAACCTTTCCTGGTTACTTTTACTTCCATTGGCAATTTTAAAGTTCCAGTACTCCAAGAAATCCTAGGTGGGGATCATACCACCAGCGCCTATCCATAGAGCAGTACCTCTGCTCTATCTTTGTGAGTATTATTTTATTTTCTCTACTACTCTCTTAACCTATCACAATTGAGAGCACTATTGCTGCTTTTTATTCTTCTATATTGGAGCCTTGGATCACCAGACGGTGCTGACGGACGTATCGCCGCTACATATCCTATAAGCGGGGATTATACCGCTGTACGCTATCCACACCAGAGCTGGCCATAGCTCCCTCAAATGTGAGTTTTTTACCTCTTCTTATCTGCACATTGAACCACATCAAAATTGAGAGCACTATTGTTGCTTTCTGTCTTTCTTTTTCGAGCTCTGGACTACCAGACGGTGCTGACGGAGACCCCTCCCTACATATCCCATAAGCGGGGATTATACCGCTGTACGCAATCCACACCAGAGCTGGCCATAGCTCTCCTGAATGTGAGTTCTTTACTTTTTGTTACCTATCACACCCTGAACTTTCATACTATACCATTAGTCGCCTCTACCTCTCTTGTATTTACATATACGGAACGGTCTACACCAGACGCATCCACAGAGGAACTCTATCAAGTATCCTAGACCATCTATTGGCACCCTAGCAATACTTTACTGGACTATCTACCCTTATTTGGCGCAGCCCTTCCATATCTTTTTGTACCCCCCCCTTATTGTTTTATTAGGGCCCCCACCCACCGCTCAGGGGTGGGGGCCGGGGGGGAGGACAGTAGGTCCCCCCACTTATTGTTTTATTGGGGCCCCCACCCACCGCGCAGGGGTGGGGGCCAGGGGGGGAGGACAGTAGGTTCCCCCCCCTTATTGTTTCACTGGGGCCCCCACCCACCGCTCAGGGGTGGGGGCCAGGGGGGGAGGACAGTAGGTTCCCCCCCCTTATTGTGGGGCCCCCACCCACCGCTCAGGGGTGGGGGCCAGGGGGGGAGGACAGTAGGTTCCCCCCCTTATTGTTTTATAAGGGCCCCCACCCACCACGTAGGGGTGGGGGCCAGTGGGGGGAACAGAAGTTCCCCCCATATCTTTATTTAGGGCCCCCACCCACCGCTCAGGGGTGGGGGCCGGGGGGGAGGACAGTAGGTCCCCCCCCCTATGGTTTTATTAGGGCCCCCACCCACCGCGCAGGGGTGGGGGCAGGGGGGGAGGAAGTAGGTCCCCCCCCTTATTGTTTTATAAGGGCCCCCACCCACCGCTCAGGGGTGGGGGTCAGGGGGGGGAGGACAGTAGGTCCCCCCCCCTTATTGTTTTATTAGGGCCCCCACCCACCGCTCAGGGTGGGGGAGGGGGGGAGGACAATAGGTCCGCCCCCCCTTATTGTAATTTATGTTTTTTTTTTCAACAGTGAGCAGCCACAGGCTGCTCACTGTTTAGTAGACATGCCCCTACTCGCGGTATAGCGAGTTGGGGCATTTGGGAGATTTTAATCTCCCTTGTGCTATTATGGGGGTCATATTGACCTCCATAGAGTGAGAGGGGGACCTGGGGGGGCTTATGAAGTGGTGGGGAGCACTGCTCCCTGCCGCTTCTATAGTTACATATTACAAGGAGGGAGCTGCACGCCGGTAGCTCCCTCCTTGTAATAAACTGAACGAACAAACAAACTAACACTGATACATTGTGTTAGTTTGTTCGGCTGATATTTCTATTCACTCATTCGTCTGTCTGATGAATGAATGAATAGATGAAATTCCCGTTCGCATGTCCAGGTGTTTCACTGGGCATGTGCGGGAATCTCACAGTCTGTCTAGTGTGGGCTGATGACGTGTCCCACAGGGACTTCATCTACCCACACAAAGATGGCGGCGCCCTGAATCAAGATCGGGGCAGAAAATAAGGATTAAAAATAGGTAATGTGGGGGGCTTAGGGGCATTTGGGGGTGACTAGTGGGTCAATTGGATGTAGTGGAGGCGGGAGGGGGGTTAAAAAAAACGGGATTCGGCATGACAGTGCCGCTTTAAGGCAACATTAATGTATACCATGAGGGGCTCTCAGACTCCTACTGATAATGTTATCTAAAGTGTGACATTCATACAATGGGGGAGAAATGCAAACTTAATGCGGCAAGAAAAGTTGTGCACTTGCTGCACAATATGTATAAATTTATTGATGGAATGAAATAGCAACAGCTGTGCAAAAAGAAAAGAAAACAACATTAATTATCAAAAAGGACGGGTTTGCACACAATCTGAGCTTGTCAGCCTAATGTCAAGCGCCCCAAGCTTGCTGGCCACTTGCCTTGACAGCTACCATCACAAAAGACCATACTGTAGTGCTCTCAGCACGACCTTAACACTTGAGCTGTGCTGTCTGGAGGCACTAGGAAACAAAAGCAGGGCAAGACTCTGCCCCATCGAAATCAGGACTGTTGGGAGGCCTGGAATAATTTTATTACTTACAGTGGGATGGTGCCCTCCTGGCACATGGACTCCTTCCTGGCACCATACCCACTACAGTGCACTGTAGCAGTTATGGTAGTTGGACTGCCTCTTTAATTATAACGTCAAGGGGCGCTTGACTTTAGATTGACAAGCTCTGATAGTGGGCAACCCCGCCCTTTTTCCTAGTTGTAGGTGTGATTTATAGGTCCCAGGACAAATAGAAGAGTTAGATAATCTACAAGTTGAGGAAATAGCTAAAATGACAATGAAGGGGGAAGTTATCATCATGGGTGAATTTAATCTTCCTGATCTGAACTGGAAAACCAAAATAGCTGCTTGTGCCAGGAGCACACACATTCTAAACTCTCTACTGGGATTGTCTCTAAAACAAGTCGTTGAGAAGCCAACTCGTAAACAGGCCATACTAGATTTAGTGTTAACAAATGGAGATTTGGTATCAGATATTACTGTAGGTGAAAGTTTAGAATCCAGTGATCATCAGTCAGTGTGGTTTAATATAAGAACAATGACTGAGTCACACCACACAAAACCAAAAGTTTTAGACTTTAGAAAAACAGACTTTTCTAAAATTAGAATATGTGTAAAGGAGTCTTTATCAGACTGGAGCAATTTAAATGGAGTCGCACTGCTGAAGGCAACAGATTGCATTAGGCTTGTCAGTAAAAGCAAAAAAATTAAGAAATCAATGTGGTACTCCACAGATGTGGCCAAAATAGTAAAAAAACAAAAATTAGCATTTAGTAATTATAAAAAAAACAGAGGGAGGAAGATAGACAGATCTATAAGATTAGGCAGAAAGAGGCTAGACAGTATCTCCAGAAGGATATTGATACTTTAGAAAGAGTTCAGAGAAGGGTTACTAAACTGGTTCATGGATTACAGGATAAAACTTACAAGGAAAGGTTAAAGTAACTTAATATGTGTAGCTTGGAGGAAAGACGAGACAGGGGTGATATGATAGAAACATTTAAATACATAAAGGGAATCAACACAGTAAAGGATGAGACTATATTTAAAAGAAGAAAAACAACCACAACAAGAGGACATAATCTTAAATTAGAGGGGCAGAGGTTTAAAAATAATATCTTATTACTTTACTGAGAGGGTAGTGGATGCATGGAACAGCCTTCCAGCTGAAGTGGTAGAGGTTAACACAGTGAGGGAGGTTAAGCATGCGTGGGATAGGCATTAGACTATCCTAGATATAAGATAAGGCCAGGGACTAATGAAAGTATTTAGAAAATTGGGCAGACTAGATGGGCCGAATGGTTCTTATCTGCCGTCACATTCTATGTTTCTATACAATCATCAGGAAGCACAAACAGAGCATAAAATAGCAGAATAGAATACAGTGGAATCACAACAGCAACACGGGTTAGTTACACTGATTCAAATTGTAAATAATGGAAAAGAAATTGTTGGGTTAGATGAGCAGCTATGACATTAACTTGAAGGCAAGAGAGGAAAGATGAGCTAGACTGAGATGAATTGCTGAGGAGGAGAAGGTCATATTAGATGAAATGTATGATTGAACTACAGAAAGTCAAGTATGGCATTTGCAACTAGTAAAACTCTACAGAGCAGTACTATTATAGAGAAGATGGCTGAATGCATGCGATCAGGGTGTTTGTACCAATAATATTAAAACAGTGTAACATCCTTCACCCTATATCCTGAAAACCCTCTAGTTACTATTATAACTCCTCTCAAGCTTTTAATTCTCTTAACACCCTATGTAATATAACTCTGACAATAAACCCTCTCAAACCTTAACTCCTACTTTACCCTAACCACTTCTAACATTATCTTTAATAACCCTGAGTCCATTTACACAGTTGTGTACATTTACTATACTCCCAAATTCAAACACAAAACACTACAAGCAGAAATATGCACATATATACAGTATGTACATTAGCAGTTCTCAAATACCAATATATATTTTTTAGATGTTTTTATGCCAAAATAAAAACTGGAGTATTCCTTAAACCAGGGGTAGGCAACCTACGGCACTAGTGCCATGCACGGCACTCGAGGTGTCTTTGTACGGCACTCAAGGCTGCTAGAGCCAAACGCACTCTGGCCTATTAGGAGTCCCAGTAAAACTTCTGATATTTGCTAATACGAAGAGGTGGTGAAGAACAATCCTCAATTTATGCATTGCAGCACATAGAGGAACTGATCTCAGATCACTGCCTCCCAGCACTTGTGAATGGGAATCCACACTTTAGTAGAGCAGTCTTCGACAGCTATTGCAGCTCCTGTCCCCACTGGAACCCAGGGAACCCACCCACACTGCTAGATATACACAGAAATGCAGAATAACCCTCCCCTCATACAAATAATATGAACAGCCCACAAACATACACACAATCCGCACAAACGCAACACCATTAACAATACACATACATGCACACAACACCACATGCAGCCTCTCACATGCAATACCCCAAACAGCCCCCACACACTACCAAACACATAATGTGACATATCCATCCACACACAATTCCACAAGCAGCCCTCATACACAGCCCACATTCATATGTATCATACACAATACCATAAACTACTAATGAACATATACAATATAATAGCTCATATACACACAAATATAACGATACAAAGCAATTACAGTAAAAATAACACAAGCAGAATACGGCAGCATACACACCTCAATTTAAAAAAAATAGGATCGGCACGCTACGGGACATCACAATCCTATATCGGCACAGTGCTGCTAAAAGGTTGCCTACCCCTGCCTTAAACCATAATATTGTGAACTTTGTTAATTGTGAATTAGTTAACCTTCCCTTACCATTAGGTAATTATTTAATTTTAGTATTAGTTTATATAAGGCAAATTTAGACCAAGTTTATTATTTAATATTTAATTTTTTATCGGCTTGTGTCAAATAATGTCCTGCAAAATTGGTTCAATTGCTTTAAAAAGTGAAAATATTTTAAGAGAAATCTACAGATCAACAAATTAGTCAGGTTTTCAGTTCTTCTTTCTCATTCTTGTTCTCAAATAGTTAAAAGCAACCGTGTATTTGGTGTTTTGTGTTAACCATTTCCCCATTTTGGTTTCCCACTAACCTCTCTGCCATGCAGCACTGACTGAAACTCAAGGAAAGAGGTATACAGATCAGTCTAATGCAATCAATGTAGGATAGGCTTGATAAAAAAAATGCAAATGCTACTTGTGGGCTGACTACAGTGTTCATTTTGTCGACTAACAATTTTAGTCAGATTTTACAATTCAGAGGACTAAAATATGGCTAAAATAAAGACTTTGACTATAACTAAATTGACATTTACTGTCAAAATTAAAGGACCACTCTAGGCACCCAGACCACTTCAGCTGAATGAAATGGTCTGGGTGCCAGGTCCAGCTAGGGTTAACCCATTTTTTTTATAAACATAGCAGTTTCAGAGAAACTGCTATGTTTACAAATGGGTTAAGCCTTCCCCCAAAGCCTCTAGCAGCTGTCTCATTGACAGCCACTAGAGGCGCTTGCGTGATTCTCACTGTGAAAATCACAGTGAGAGCACGCAAGCGTCCACAGCAAAGCATTGATAATGCTTTCCTATGCGACCGGCTGAATGCGCGCGCAGCTCTTGCCGCGCGTGCGCATTCAGCCGACGGGGCGGAACGGAGGAGGATCGGAGGCAGAGAGCTCCCTGCCCAGTGCTGGAAAAAGGTAAGTTTTACCCCTTTCCAGAGCCGGGCGGGAGGGGGTCCCTGAGGGTGGGGGCACACTCAGGGCACTATAGTGCCCGGAAAACGAGTATGTTTTCCTGGCACTACAGTGGTCCTTTAACCATGGCAGGTAAGACACATAGGGAAGGAAGGAAAGGAAATGAGACACATGGGGGGCTGTGGGAATGAGGCACAATGGGGGCTGGGGGATTGAGACACAATGGGCTCTGGGGGATTTAGACACAATGGGGGCTGGGGGATTGAGACACAGTGGGGGACTGTGGGAATGAGGCACAATGTGGGCTGGGGGAATGAGGCACAATGAGGGATGGGGGATGGAGGAATGAGGCACAATGGGGGCTGGCAGATTGAGACACATGGGGGGGTGGGCTAAGGGAATAAGACACATAGAGGCTTTATCTTAACCCATTAAAGTTTAGTTGTGTCGACTAAAATCTACTGGAGATTTAGTTGTCTAAAACTAGACTTAAACTAAAACAATTCAGATGACTAAAATACAACTAAAACTAAAATGGCATTTTAGTCAAAAGACTATGACTAAAACTAAATTGAAATTTGCCCTGAAAATTAACACTGGCTGACTAGTGCTTTTTTATATAGTATATATTACTAGTGTAGTGGAATTTACAGTTCAACATCTATCCTGTCCAAATTGGGCAGCATTAATTGTCTGAGACTGACTCATTATCTCAGTTCTCTCAGACTATTACTGCTGCCCAGGCTCCAAAATGAGCATTCTGGACATAAAACTAACAGATAATACCCAAGAAACGTGTCAAAACCCTTATAATAAGATATATATACATACTCTTTTTAGATGTCGGTAGTTAACATTATCA